TTTTTTTTTTTTTTTTTTTTTTTTTTTTTGAGTTCTCCCATCTATTCATGGGGAGCAGCACATGCTGGGAACGGGGCCCAACGGCCCTTATGAAATCTTTTGAACATGCCATCCTCAGGAAGTAACGCGCAGCTAATGGGGGGAGAGCTGGATTTGGAAGGGGAGCTACAACATCAAGCAGAAGAATGGATTACCACACTGGAGGAGGGATGCAAGAAGATGCAAACTACAGTGGGGTTGCTTATGCAGCGGCAGCAAGAAGGGGGGGAGATCGATAGGGGATCTATCTCGATGGACCAGTGGTTGGAAGATAGGATTCAGGAGTTGTTAGACATCTTGTGGGAGCTTGAGGAGGGGCCAGATCCCTGGCTCGAAGTCTACATCGACTGGAGGCGGGCGGATGACAGGTTGGCTGCTTGCAGAAACCTCGTCACATTGGGGCGAGATCTACGCAATCAGTTGGAGTATAGGTATGGAATGCTGGCAAGTGACGATGATTGCGGCGAAAACACAAATAACAGCAACAACATCAGCTACAGCGACATCAAGGATGGGGATGGTGTCAACAACAATAATGATGGGGGGGGCGACGTCCAAGGCTGCACCATGATGGGAGTGATACTGCAGGTGGACGCGGAAGATAATGGAGACGTCAACAACAACAACAACAACAACAACAACAACAACAACAACAACAACAACAACAACGACAATGATAACAACAATATAAACTACAGCAACAATAACAAAAACGATGGTGCGCAGGGATTGGGATTGGGCGAAATGGGCGAAGGGGGTGGGAAGGATGACAGCAACATTAACAACGATGGCAAGAACAACAACGACGACAACGACAACAACAGCAACAACAACGGTGACGAGGGCGGGGGCGACGTCCACGGCAGCAGCATGAAGGGTGTGATGCTGCAGATGGACATGGATGAAATGGGCGAAGGGGGTGGGAAGGATGATAGCAACATTAACAACGATGGCGAGAACAACAACGACGACAACGACAACAGCAACAACAACAACGCTGACGAGGGCGGGGGCGATGTCCACAGCACCAACATGAAGGGTGTGATGCTACAGATGGACATGGAGTGATAAAGGTGGTGACAACAACAACAACAACAACAACGATGATGATGGGGGAGGCGACGTCCACAGCTGCCACATGAGGGGAGTGATACAGCAGATGGATGCGGATGATAGTGGAGACGACAGCAACAACGACGGCAACAACAACAACAACAACAACAACATCAACAACAACAACAACAACAACAAAAACGTTGACGACGGAGGGGGAGACGTCCATGGCAACAGAATGATGGGTGAGATACTGCAGGCAGACGCGGTTGGAATGGGGGTGGACACGGGAAACTGGTTTTCCGATTTCCTTCTTGTTATATTCTTCGGCCTCGATATGGAGTTGCTTCTCGTTAACTATCAGAGAATAGTAGTAGGTTAGTCAGTGATGATTGGTGTTGCCCGGCCCGCAATACCAATCAACATTGGGGTGGTGATCGCCTCGCGGGATTGGTGGTGGGCAGTTTAGGGGTTAGATTGCAGGAGGACGACCCTTCCCTTGCGCATGGAAGTAATCAATGCCCCTGATTATCATCACGTTGTGTTAAGCCACGCCTGATGCTCACCACGTGCAACTCATCATTTTTAGGGTTTCGTGATGTCCACTCACCATTGATAGAGCTTTGCTTATGCTTGATTGATAGATAATACATCATATCCTGCTTAGAGTTTCGTGATTACACTTTGATACATATAGATTAAGGACATATATAGACAGTTTATGACTGTTGGACATAGTTACAAGACACAAGTGGGGACATTGGACCCGAGTTCCAGAAGATATAAATCACATCATTGGAAGAACACATCATACCATGGTTGGGGTTTCGTCTGAAGGTATTGATCCCTCAGATTGGTGCAGAGATTTCATAGTCTACATAGTTACACAACATGGTATGGGGACGCTGGACCCGATTTCCAGCAGATATAAATCATAGCATCGGTAGTGCACATCTCATCATGGTTAGGGTTTTGACTGATTGGATTGATGCCTTAGATTGTTGTTGAGATTTTATAGTTTACATGGTGTGTCCCGGCACATACATTCACACCATTGCATAAGGGCGTTGGACCTGATTTCCAGCAGATATATTTTCATCATTGTACAGGGACGCTGGACCCGATTTCCAGCAGGTGTAGCTCCCCACCAATAGATGGAGCCTTCGACGTCGGGGCCTACTTAACGGGGATGCTCTTATC